GGATGCTCTTGGCTCAAGAAATCTCTGTCGTTCCCTTTTCTGGGGGGGATAAACCTGCCCTTTGCAGGGGCAGGGAGACCCAAACAGCCACCTGGGGTCCGGCCACCCCCTGTCCAAGGACTCTGGGGACAGGCGGAGCCCCCCGGCCAATGGAGGGGACAGGAGCTCCCCGTATGCTGCCACTTGCTGGCCTCTCCTCTGGGACCTCCTGGGCAATTACTGCTGTTCCACCAAGGCCTCTTGGTAATTACTGCCCCTGTCACAGCGTGATTAGCGCTTGGGGGAAGAGCCTTAATGAGGGCCCAAAGTGGCCCTCAAACCGGCTGCTGTGGGGTTAATGAGCTGGGGAAGGAGAGGGCCAGGCAGGCTTGTTGCCTGCCTGTCACTTGGTTGATTAACGGCGTCTAATTAGCGAGGTTGAGGTCTCCACGAGCCGAGCCGGGGAGAAGGGAATCTGCCAGGTTTTGTCTCATTTATTGGGTAGTTCCGAGCAGCAGGTGGCAGCCTTCATCCACTGCCCGCGCTCTGCCTCATCCTCGTCGCCCTCCTCCGGGATCTGGAAGCTGCCTCTGGGCTCCCGGTTTGGGAATGCGGATGAGGATGGATATGGGGAGCTGCTGGTGCTCTTGCCAGCCCAGCTGAGTTGGTTTGGGGATCAAAACTCTGTTTTTGCCCAATTCCTCGTGCTTCTCCAGAGGATGCTCAGCTTCCTCCTTGCTCCTTCCAAGACGCTCTCTGCAGGAGAGTCTGTGGGAAGAAATTTGGGTCCAAATCAGCACAAAAAAGAGCAACGAGGAGAGAAACCCATCCCCAGCCCTCTTGGCTCCAGAGGGGCACTCAGGCAACATCCCACTGGGGTCTCTACCATAGTGTTTTAGCAGTTGCAGAGCCACGGAGTTCATTTTTCTGCCTTTTTATGACTCCATGCCCATTTTTTGGGGGCAGAAATTCATTTTTGGGGGTTGGCGCTGTGTTTGGGGAGATCTTCACCAGCCACCCCTGTGAGCTGCCCCCTCCTGTGCCACCTTCACTGGCATAGGCAGCAATTAACTCTGGGCGCGCGGGCGCAATTAGGTGACAAATTGCACCCGGGGACTCGCGTGCTGGCTTGGCCAGGCGAGCGGCGCACGCTCCGACGGGGCCGCTTCTCTTAAAAGGCAGTTTTTATCTGCTGCTTAACCGTTCCCATGGGATTTCTCTTTGAAACACCCTGCTAGGCTTTTCCTTATCGAATGGGAACGGAGGGAGCTGATAGCGGTTGTATTTATTTCCCCCGCGCCGGTGCCGATCGCAGCTGGCGCGAGCCGCGCGCGCTCTGATCTCGACGGCTATCGGGCTTTGCTGGCAGCCGCTTGTTCCAAGGGCTGGGCTGCAAATCCAACCTTGGAAAAAAGCAGAGGAAAGGACTCAAGTTCCCTTGCCCGCATGGAAAAGTGGGGAAAAATCCCCGCAGTTTTCCACAGCTGCAAGAATTGGTCCGATTTCTCAGTTTCTTTTATTTGTGGCTTGCTTTTTTTTGAATTAAAAAAAAGGCAAATGCTACAGGGTGTTTTGACAGTCTGGTCTTATCCAATTCCTGTTTTTTTCCCTGGTTGCACAAGGGGGCATTATCCGAACCTGCAGCTGCACCTTGCTCGTGGGCACCGGCGCCTGCTGCGGTGCCAGCGTGGGTTAATGTCGTGGTGGTGAAGGGGGCTCGGTGCCCGCGGGCCGCTTGCCAGCGCTTCGCTTTTATTTATTCACCCAGCTTTGCTTTGCAATGTGCCAGAAACCCCCTGCATCCTGGTAGGATTTTCCACTTGGAATTAGCAACTCGGGACAACTCGGAGGCTTTAGCAAGCGGGTTGGATTTGCTGCTCTCTGTTGCGTTTGCAGTTGAAATTGCATTCCCGCTCTGGGGAAAGATCCCGGCTCCGGCAGCGACCTTTCCCAACAAAGTGTCTTTTGTCTGGCACTGCCGGGCTCCTCTTTGGTGTTTTCCCTTTCTCTCGTTTTATTGCAGCCACCGCCCCGACGGTGGCACAAGGCTGCATTGTCCCCGTTCCCGGTTGGACTTTGCTGAAGGAGGGAGATTAGGAGCAACCGGGCAGCGCTGGGGCCGCATCCGGGAGAGCCGACGGCAAAGCTTGGCACGAGGGAAGCGGGGTTGGCACCTGGAACTGCTTTGAGGCCCATTTAGGCCTTTTTTCCCTGTCGCTGGATTTGAGAGACGTGTTTTTAGGGATGCAGAAGGGTGTTGAGTTGCAACCAAGGATTTATCCTGGCTTTTCCCATGCTAACAATCCCTGGAAGTCTCCTTCTCCTCTCTTTAATTCTACATTTTGGGGGTAGACCCATCTCTTCCAGTGTTCCCAAGCTGTGGGTCTCATTCCCAGCTCTGTGATGCTCAAAGCGAGGGCCAGATTCCCAAGGCCGCTGCCTTCCCACCAGCTGCTTCATCCTGCACAAAACCCTGGGCACCTGCACAGAGGTAACATTGGCCATTTGCTTTTGCATTTTTGCATTTTCTTTTTCCCCTCCTTTTATTTCACCTCTATTTTTATGTTTTTTCTCCTTGCAGCTGCTCCTGGAGATGGCACCTCCTCAGCTAAGAGGTCATTTTGGGCTTTTCATGGGTATTTGGGGCTGTTCATGCCTATTTTGGGGTGCATTTTTATTTTTGTGGTTTTTTTTGGGGTGATACTAGGACTGCGGTGGTCCAGCAAGCTTGTGCTAAGTGCTGTGCAACCAGAGCCTCTCTGAATGGGTGGAGGGGACTCTGCAGCTGAGGAAGATATTAAGTTTCGGGGCTGTTACAACACATGAAAACAGCTATTTTCTTTTCCTCCTTGCCAAAGAGGGGGGGAGTGTATGAAAAAAAAGGACTTTTGCAATCCTGCAGTAATTACCAGCTAAGGGGAAGGATGCTTAACTTGCTGAACAAGGAGGAATGGAGGCTATATGAAATTCTTGGTGCATGGGGCCATTTCTGGAGTCGCTACCTCATTTTTCCAGTATTTGCCTTTGTTTTGGAGACGAGCAGGATGCGAAGGTGTTTTGGAGTACTGGTTTTTGTCTACTGACACAACATTAAATAGGAGAAAGCTGGGAAAAGCTATGTGGTCTGCCTACAACCGTGTTATAATGTTTCCAAGGGTAGGAGATAATAGGAATTAAAGCAAAACCTGCTTTGGGTGCTTGTAGCAGCACTTGGAGGCTGCTGAAATAGTCATTTGACCAGAAATCCCTATTTCTGCTCAGGGTTTGGGAAGACGGCTGCTCCCACTGGGATGCTGATGGGCACCGGCATGCGGATGCCATTGCCAAGGCCAAGGCAGCCTGGCTCAAACCGGGATTTTTCCCAAGTTTTGGCCACACCGGTGGCTCAGGGAGGGTCTCGGCGTTCTTCCCGCTGCGCGTTCCGCATTCGCAATCCGGGCTCTGGGTCACGTTGGCGCTGACGCCCAGCTCCTGTTGGAGCATCCGTGATTCATCCCTGAGGGCGGCTCACGCCCATGCCGGGTTTCTTCTCCCTGCTGTTGGCAGAGCCCGTGTGGGTGCCCCCTCTGCCATCCTCATGCAGGATCGGACTCCTGGGCCCCTTCCCAAGGGTATCCCACGCTACCGTTTCCCCAGGGAGAAGGGGCTTATGAGTGTCTTCCCAAATGGGAAAACTGAGGCGGGCAGACCACGAATCTCGTTGCAAGGAGGGGAGAGAGGGGCAGTGTCGGGATAAAACCAGGTGCAGGGTTGACCCCGAGGGCCGCTTTGCTATCTCCGAGCCCTGGGAATTGGGGGAAGCAGAAGGAAAACGGGGTTAGGAGGAGGGATTTCTGGGTGCCCTCGCCAGAACCCGTGTGGCAGAACTGGTAGGGCAGAGAGTTGCGCCCGAGTCATCCCGCCGGAGCGCGTGGCTCCCGGCTCCTCCTGGCAACCCGGCTCCAAGGAGCTCCGAGGCTGGGGACCCTCCGGAGCTGCTGCTCAGCCCCATCCCCATCCTTCTTCCTCGGTACCTTCTCCTTGCAAACCCGTGCCGGTGCTTTGCCTTTGGCCTCGGCTTATTCGGAGCACCTCGCGGTTGCAAATCTCCCTTTGGTTCCACGCGGCTTCGTGCCAGGCTGGTTTTCCTGCAGCGGGATCCGTCAGGGCTAATTAAAGGTGTCGTTTCTCCCTGTAGCCTCCACTTCAACCCCAATCCATGGGAGATGCCCTCAAGGGCAGGGAGCCACGTTGCCCCATGATTATTGTGGTCGCTGGCCCAAGCTGGCTTCAAGGTCCCTATTGGCAATCCGTTTAACCCCTTCTGCTCCCAAAACTGGCTACCTGAGGAGGGTTTCCTCCCCGACTTATTTCTTTTTAAATCTCCTTTATTCACAATAAATAATACACTATATTACAAGGATCTCAATGCAAACCCCCAAAAAAAAGAAACAAAAAAAGAGGTTCTTCCGGCAGCCGTGAATAAATAGAACTCACCAGCACCAGCTAATGCAGGAAAGAGCATCTACAGCAACGTGGGCCTGTGCTGAAGAGAAAGTGGGGGATTTAGGGGCATCCACCTGCCCAAAGTGGACTTTTGGTCTTCCATCCTTCCTTCTTTTCATCCATCCTTCCTTTGTTCCTGGTCCTCTCCCAGCTGTTTCCATGCCCTGGTCCACAAAAGGCGCAGGCGGACACCTGGACGTTCCCAAAAAAAGGTGCTCTGGGATCGCTCTGGAAGACATGGGGCTCTCCCATGGCCAGAGGCAGGGATGCCAAGGGCAGGGATGCGGATGGCAAGACCCGGTGGAGAGGCCGAGCCTCCTGCGCCGCATTTCTAGCGCTCTTGCTTGTGTTGGATAGCGAAAAATGCAGCCACTTTGGTTCTTCCCTGGTGCTTGCTTGTGGGAGGCCTTGGAGATACGACTTTTCTTTTTTTTTTCTGTTTTGTTTTGTTTTTTTCTTTGGGTTGAGAGTCTACTGTTGCTTTGAGACTGTGTTGGGCGAGCTTTCTGCCTTGACTTCTGCCCTGTCCTCTGCTGCTACGGGGTGGTCAGCTCCATGGACTTCTTCCTTTCCTCCCGCTGCTCTTCCCACTCCTCCTCCGACTCGTAGGTGCCCTTGACGATGGCCATCCTGTCCGACATGCTCATGCAGTAGGGCACCAGCACGTAGAAGTAGAGCAGCGCTGCCAGGCAAGCGCCGAGGATGGGCCCGACCCAGAAGACCTGGAAAGCAACGTGGGGAGAGGAATGGGATGTGAGAGCCCAGTTTGGATGCCGTTGCGCTGGGTTTTCGATCCTGACAGCATCTTTTGCTGCTCCACATCTAGATGTGAAAGGATGTGTCTTTCCCATGGACCTATGTCCCCTCTGCTTGCTGGAAAAATCAAGTGAAGGCAGGTGGAAGGATGTGATGTTGGGGAAAGCAGGACCTCCCTTGTCCTGCAGCTCCCTTTTATCCTTTCTGGAGGCTGGGAATGCCCCCAGGATTCACCACCCCCTTCCCACCGGCTCTGCGGGGCTGATGCTCACCCAGTGTGCAGGACTGAACCTCCTCATGATGACGGCTGGGCCGAAGGACCGCGCCGGGTTCATGGAGCAGCCGGTGAAGTAGATCTGTGGGGTGCAGAGAGGAGCTGGGGGTTAAGGGGCATCGTGTTGCCTATTGCATTCGCATGGGGGTTTAGGAATTTTGAGGGAGTCGGGATGGAAGCTGCTTCGTCCCGTCTTGCAGTTCCCTCTTTGGGAACCGCTGGTTCCTTTTGGGAAGTCCTGTCCTAGCCGGTGCCTGGACACTCACCCCGATCAAGTGGCCAAGAGCAACAGAGAGGCCGATGGAGAGCGCCGGGGAGCCCACGCCGCCGCTCCGGCGGTTGTCCGTGGAGGCGAAGATGCAGATGGCCAGCTGGAAGGTGAGGATCATCTCCACCACGAGCGCCTGGCCCGGGCTCGTGTTGTTGTTGAGCTGCGAACGGCGGAGAGGGGTGAGAACTAAGCAGCCATGGGGCCACCAGGCTCAGTGTGACCCTGGTGTCCTGTAAGGGGTGGCCCATGTTCTCCCACCCCGCTGGACCAGGAGCTCTATGGCTCATGTTGGCCATTGCTTGGGCTCAATGGGATGGAGGTGCCTCTTCCTCCTTGGGTGTGGGGCATGGGAGAGAAGGTGGGAGATCTCCTATGGCTGTGAGGGGACCGGGGGTGTCTTGGGCTGTCCCAGTGCCCTGGGGACCATCAAGTAGACTCAATCCTGTTGGGCATGGAAGGGGAAAGGGACCTAAACCATCGCGACTTGTCCTCTGGCTGAAGCTGGCTGACTTGGGCCACTGTTTGGAACGAGGATGAAGGTGGTGCAGCTCCTCATCCTCTTCATGGAGCCCTCCGCAGTGAGCCTGAGCTGCTCCGAGGGGCCCCTCCAGCTGGAGCAGGGGCTCTGCAGTCCCCATGCCGGGTGGTTTCCCAGTGCTCTCCCAAGGATCGGGCAAGCGCTGCCCAGCCCTGCGGCTCCTGGAGACCCCCGCGTCCTCCTGCCCTCCAAGAGCCCCGTCCCCTCTGTGCCCTCTCCCTGTGCCCTCCTGCATGTGCCTCCATGAAGGCTCTCGGGTACCACCACCTTCTCCCACCTTCATCTCTCCAAAGAGCTGGTATCGGTGGGCTCCTAAACCCTGCGCTTGTGTCACTGGGTTCCTCTCCCCACATCCCTCCCCCTCCGCATCCGGCTCGGGCTCCCGTCCCGGCTAATCCCTGGGTGCAGAGGCTGGAGTCAAGAACACCTCAATGGTGCCGGTGACTCACTTGGGCCCTTAGGATAAAGGAAGCACTTATTAAAGGTGAAAAAACCACCCCATTCATTACCCCGCACAATAAAGCTGTCATATTGCTCTTCTGCTGGCTACGCCGGAGTTGGCTTCTATCTCCTTCCCATCCCTTTCTTCCTGCAGGACGACGCACCAAGACCAACCGTGCTTAAAAGTTCAGCTCTGGTGGCATCAACTCCACACTCCCAAGGGAAGGAGACTCTCAAAAACGGAGGCGAGCGGCGCGATAAGTCATGTCCGGGCAAGAAGACTTACCGCGTTGATGGCCAGGTTGCCGCGGGTATTGGCCGGTGTGACGCCGTAGAGGATGCCTGCCCCGGCGATGGCCCCAACCATTTTTTTCGTCCGCAGGAATGAGATCTGGTTGCCCACGAAGAAGGCGATGGTCACGGCCGGGTTGATGTGGGCGCCGCTGATGTGGCCAAACGCCTGCACCATGGTCCCGATGGCCAGCCCGAAAGCCAGTGAGATCTGCAGGATGCTGGGCAGGGCTGAGGGCCACTTGAGCGCCGAGCCGAGGCCGATGAAGACGAAGATGAGCGTGGCGATGAACTCCACGGAGACGGCTCGCGCAAAGGCCAGGGTTAATATTTCCCTCTTCATGGCAGCAGCGGGTGGAAGGCGTCAGGGAAGGAAGCGAGCTGAGGTTGCTGGCGTCTCCGGGCTCTGCCGTCTGCACCGCACGGTAGGGCCATACCTATCTATATATGCAAGAGCGGCAGGGAGCTGTGTTACAAGGCTGTGGGCGGAGCCGAGGAATTAGCCAGTCCTCCCAAATTATCATGTGAAACTGGAAAAGTTTCCATCTGAAAATAACTTTGGAGCCTCTTGGTGAACCAGTGACTCAGTTCTTGGTGGCATTTCTCCCTCTCTGCAAACAGAGAGCCCCTATACGGGCGGCCCTGGGGTCGTTAGATAAAGCCCGTTGCATAACGCGCTGGGCTTGTTGCTCGGCCCTTCCCTTTTGCAGCCGCGTGTGGGGTGCTGAGGGTTTCACTGCAATGGCAAAGGACACATAGGGATGGTCCCTGGGTGTCCAAGCGAGCAGCTCCTGGAGGGATCCCAGTGTTTTTGGGGATGCCCTGCCTGTAAAGGAGGGCTGAGCTGCATCCCTCTTTGCTACCCTTCTGCTCCGCTGCTCCTTGTCCAGCGCGGGAAGCCTCTGACACGGGGACATCCTTCCCTGGGCATTTCAGGTTCTTTTCTCTGCTTTTTGTTTTTCAGAACACAAAAGTCATAGTTTTGCTCTTGGGAAAGTCAGCAGAATACTGTGGGAACATGGACTGGGATTGCATGTCCCCTTTCCCATCCCTTCAGTGCTGTCCTCATCCGGAGTTCATCCATCTGCACATCCGTGGCTGGGGGGGAGCAGAGCTCCACACCTCTTTTTTTTTTAATTATTGTTATTTTTATGATTACAATTTATGTTCTAGAAAGGTGTAAAAATGATTGAAAACCCTCTTCAAGCCTAAATTCATTGCTGCCTTCTGCTGGGTAGCTGCAGACCTGCACCTACCCGGGCCAGAGCTGTTAAAAAATAGGAGAGAGCAAAATGGGGGCAATTTCTTGCTCTGGAGCCCCAAAACGTTGAGCCTTTTCCTTCCAGCTGCATCCCAAGTCCTGAGAGTTCAGGATTTGGAGAGTCTCCAGGGCTGAGGGTTTCTGCAGCTCCGATCCCCCCTGCTTCGGGGGAGAACGCGGAGTTAAAACGTGAGCTCTGTTATCCTAGAAACACCTGGTCCGTTGGCGTGTTTTGGTGAAAGTTTTGCAATCTGGTTTTTCAAGATACCCTGGCCAGATTCCAGCCAGGATAATTACCCGCCACTTCCCTTCAGCCCTGCCTGTGGTTTCAGCTGGAGAAAAGGCTCCTTATTCCCTTGCTCCAAATGCTTCTCTAGGCTCCCACTTTCCACCCGTTCCTGCCCCTTGGAGCCTCCGTGTCCTTTGGGAGCATCCGTGCGGGATGCTGGGGTGGATACTGCGCTCGCTGCGCACCAGCTCCTACAGGGAGAAAACCCTCCAGCCGGAGCTGGGGAAAATCCTCCAGCTGAAGCCAAAAGCGGTTGGGAAAACTGCCAGGGAGCAGCAAGTTGTTGCTCCGACGACAATCAAAGCCGTTTTCCCATGGCCGGTTCCTGGGTTTTCCTCTTTGAGGGCATGCCCGTTTGGCTTCTCTGATGTCTAATAGGATTGTGCTGGCCTCTGCGGAGGGCAATAGGAGGGTCCTTTGCCTCTCCTCAGCCACATGGCCACGGAAGGACTCCTGTGCGTGGCAAGTCCCACTGAATTGAACAGGACGAGACGTTCTGAGGGTCTTGCACGGACACAGTGGGGTCCCGCAAGCCTCATCCCACGCCTCGTTCCTGACCCGGAGCCCACGCAGGCTCGGCCTCTTCCCTCATAGGTGTGGGCGCTATTAAAGCACATACGTGTGTGGGGCCCAGGCGTCCTGGCTGCATTGGCTGTCCCCGTGCCGGGCTCGCTGTCCCCGTCCTGGCCACACTTTGATATCGGAGCGTGCCGGCGAATGCGGATCGCTTGCTCGCCCCGTGCCGGGGGCTGCAGCATCCCAGCTGCTCCCAATGCCGGGAGCAGTATTAATAGCCACAGGAGGCAACTCCTTCCCCTGGCATCTGGGATTAGCTGGGATTAAGTGGCTGGAGAAAGTTGGGGTTAGTTTGTTTTTTTAAGAGAAAGGGCGTTTTGTGCGGGCTCAGCGTTGGGAGCTTGCTGCAATGCATTAATGGAGGGAAAAAACACCATATTGGGAATTAAGAGCAGAGCAGAACGTGGCAAATTTGACCAGCCAGTGGTTGCTCTGCATTTATGCCCCGGCTTTAGCTGTTGTCGCAGCCTTTTGGGGACTTTTGTGGCAATTTCTCCCTCCATAGAAATAGCTTGAGCTGGTAGGTGCAGCTGTGAGCTGAGCTGTTTGCAACCTTGATGATAGGAGAAATTATGAGGATTAGTGCAAAATCGCACGGCTTCTTTCTAGTGAAACTCAATGTGTCCATGCAGATTTCAGAGCTTTTCAGAGAGACTTTCAAGGATTTCACTCTCCTTAAAGACTTATCCTACTGGTGGTATCTGTATATTCCCCAGCCCTGGAGCAGGAAGCTCTTGTTCCCCTTTCGTAACCCAACAGAGCCCTATGGGGCAAAAAGTCCAAGAAACGATGACCACCGGCCAGGGGAACCTTTGCTGCAGGAGATCTTGGCTCCTTCACTGCTGTTCCACCTTGCAAAGAGTCTCCCCAAGCCTCAGTGCCACCAAGCTGGTCAAAGTGACCTCGTAACCCGTGAGCCTGTAAACAGCCGCGATGCTATTTAAATGCTGAGTAGCATCAATGTTTAATAACAGCGTTGCTCCGCTCTTGGCGTGAATGTCGTTTGATGGCCTCGAAGGCTTAAAAGGAAATGACCACGAACGCTTTGGGGCTGGCCTGCAATGGAAATGCCAGCCTTCTTAATAAGTCATTTGCATCACAATCGTCATTAAGTTGCCACACGGGGATAATAAGGCATATCAGGGAAAGCAAAGGCCCAGCGAGACAGATGTGTGCAAGGTCACGCAGCGAGAAAGCTGGGCTGGAAACACAGGTGGATTTGCAGGTGAATCGCACGACTTGCTTTGCAACATGCTGGTTGCATCTCCACTCATAGAGCCAAATGGAACTTTTACAAGCCAGCAACCATTTAGCATGGGCCTCAGGATGCAGAGAGCAAAGGTGTTTGGCTAATGTGTGCTGCAACCAATATTGAGGATATTCACTGTGGAGGGTCTGATGTAGGTTATCAGCTCAGCTCTGGGGCAGCTCTGGTTGTTGCCGATGGTGCTCTCTAATTTGAGCTGCGTGGTGCAAACCTGGAACGACCGGCTTGGTTTCCTGACGGGGCAACTTTTGGAGTTGCCATTGGAGTGGATGACCTAGCTCCGTGGAGAGGGTGCATTCATGGAATTGTTTTTTTTGAATTCCCAATGCTTGTCTAGTGAGACTGCGGGGTGTCCATGCTGGCGTGCCAAGGTCAGAGTGTCACCAGGTCAGAAATAAGAGGATCGAGTTGTCCTAAAGGGGGAACGGGTCTTATTTTACGGTCATTGCAACCAGATGCAACCAAGCCAACGAGTGCTGGGGCAGCTGCACTTGAACCTGGGCTATGCTGCAGTGGTGGCTATGGGATGCTGGCAGTCCCCAAAGTATTTTGCAATACTTTTGCAGTTTTGCAAAGGGTTTGCAAACCTCTTATATGAATGCAAATGCATTATCATTTTTATTTGATTTGCAGGGACTGATTTGGTACATGGAAGTGATTTGAAGCACTTTATTTCAGAGCGTACAGTAAATTGACAGACATTGAAACTTGTTTTCTAGGACTTTGCTCAGTTCATATTAATCTTAAACATTGTCAAGGTAAATAATAAATTAACTACTTAGATTAGAAGGAGAAGAGACAGGTAATTAACACAAACCTTAAAAAAGGGAAGAATAAAATTCAGTCATACAGTGTTTTCTACAGCAGCTCCTTGATAGGATAAGTTTCTTTGGGTTTTCCTGATATATATGGGTTAACCATTGATGAATATTGCTATTCTTTGACAGCAGCCTTCAGGAGGTATTTGCATTCATTGGCTAGAGGACCAACACGGATCTTGGGATCAGAGAGAATAAATCCAAGCAAAGCAGAATTCTGACAGAGTTTTCTCCCTTCTTCCACAGGGAGACATTAGGGATGGTGAACGAATGACAGCTGAAGGAGATCCCATACTCTTGACTTCACTTGTCACAGTGACGTGACAACCATGAAAACTTCTCATATGGGTCAGAATGAAGATTTGTTTGCTCCTGTTTTCTGTCCTGTCTGAGGAGGAGCACAGCAAGACGCAGAAGGAATTATTAATTCAATATAAGAGCATGGTACAAGCAGTGTGCCATGGATAAAGGAGAGTAAGAGAAGAAATGATGGTGATTCATGCTGAAACACTTCGAAGGAAGAAAATTATCAGCAATGTTCTTTATGATTTGGAATTGGGTCCAGTTTTAGTGAATATTTCCATTGATGACTTTGGCAGGAATCGACTCAACTTGGTGATGATACTTTGTGGTGACAATGCTGAGGAACATCACTGATACAAAGAAGAATTGGGATGTTGTGTAGGAAATGCAGGACTCTTCACGGGATGAAGTGAGAATGGATGAAATTAAATGCTGGAAAGTGCAAAATCAAGTCCCAGATGTGCAAATTCTTTGACTACTTTGGGAAATGCAACCAGGGCTTTCCAAAGGAGGCGTAAGTGGTACCGACTGGTGTGGTATGAAAATGGCCTGGGCGGTAGGAAGCAGGGGAAGGGAAAGTGTCTCCTATTGCTGTAGCAGCCCTTGAGAAGATCACATCTGAAGCACTTTGTGCAGAAGAGTAGAGGAAAGAAAGCAAAAAAGCAGGGGAGGAGAAGAGCCAGCAAAGCTGAGGAACAACAAGAAGGCAAGGACCAAGGAACCAGGAGTGATCATGGGCTGGAAAGTAGAAGGACGTGTCTCATCCTCAGAGCAGAGGGATTGGGGAGAGCTCCCCAGTGGGGTCAGTGGACTCAAGGACCCATGTCCAAAGCCATGTCCTCAGGGAAGCCTCCAGGCACGCAAAGGATGCCCATGTCCTCTGGGAAGGGCACTTTGGCCTCTCAGCAACGCCTGCAGTTAGCGAGATCCTTGTGGCATGGAGCAAGCTCTCCGTGTTTGCCAACATCCAGGCGGCGGGCAGGGATGGGAGCCAGCTAGGTGAAGCTCAAGAGCAATGAGGCATCGGGTGGCAACATCCACACCCACAAAAGGGCTGTAATAACAACTCTGCACAGGCCCTCGGAGCTCTTCGTGGAGGACAACCAACTCGGATGTAGGCAAGGGGGAACTTGCCAGCCCTATGAAAGGGACTGGGGAAGCTGCCAGGAAGAGGACCCTCGTTGTCCTTGTTTCTGTTGCTACGCTGCTCGTTTTGGGCTTAAACAACCAGCTGAGTGGCAGGAGATGAGCTGAGCTGGCAGCCCGTGTCCCCCCGGGGAGACGAGTCCGCCTGACGCCCCGGCAAAGCCAGGGGAGAGAAGGGAGAGGCGAAAGACTCATGCGACCAGGGCCTGTTTGTCCAGTCCGTGTTGTCCCCGGCTCTGCTCTCGGCCCGGGGCAGCTAGACCTTCTCCGACATCCCCCTGGGAAGGGTCTGCGGGGAGTGGAGCTCCACGGATTGTCTCCGGCGGACCTCGCGCTCCTCCCAGTCCTCCTCCGGCTCGAAGCCTTTGAAGACGGCCAGCCTCTCCGAGAAGGTTTTGGCTTGTGGGAAGAGGATGTAATTGTAGATCACGGAGGCTGCTGCAGCTCCCACCAAGGGGCCCACCCAGAAGACCTGGAGAAAGAGAAGCATCGAGGGAGTAAGAACTGGCCTGTTTGGAGGATGGAGGGTCTCTGAACAACATTCATGTAAAAACCTTCCTACACTGGGTGCATTTGCAGCAAAATACAGATACTGGCCCTGCTTTCCTCAGCCATCGCTGTCAATTTGAACTCCTATCCATAGCTGTCATGCCTGAATATGTCCAGCCAACATCTTTGGTCTCTTCCTCCCGTGTTTTGAGTCAGAGTTGTGAGATTTTCATTAATAATAAGTGTGTCCTCCTCCCCATTTATGCATCGTAACAGTGGTGAGGAGCCCATCAGCTTGAGCTGGGCACCTCTGAGCACGTTCTTCCGAATGCCCATGGTTCTTACTCTGAACATGCTCCCTGCAAATGGAAACCTCCAGGAACGTCCCCAAAGAAGCTTGTGGAAAATACAAGCCCACATCCAACTGGAAGCAGGAAAGCTTCCCGGTGTGGCGAGAGGAGCTCAGATCTCCATTGGTTTTCCTTCTTTTGTTAGATAATGGTCAACAAATGACTCACCCTTTCCATGTTGCAATTCCCCCTGCTTTGATAAGCCAATTAAGAAGCCAGTGGCTCCACGTCTAATTGTTAATCTATGCTCTCTTCCATCACTGAAATGCCAGGAATCCGGCATTCGAGGAATATGAGTAACCTGAGGGGGGCTCAACCCCGCCAAAGGGCACCCAGACCTGCAGTCCCAGGACGCACAACCCGAATTCTTACCCAGTGGTCGCTGAAATCTCCGACTATCACAGCAGGGGCGAAAGATCTGGCTGGGTTCATGGAGCAGCCGGTGTAACGGATCTACGGAGAAAGGACCCGCTTGCTGTTAGCACGAAGCCCTTTTACCTCATTTTTAAGTGTCCTGCTGTGTTATTAGTGTGATTCATTCCCTGATGTTTCTCCTGACGGTCTGTCCCATTCCAGGGAGAGGGATGCGGGCGGCTTCCAGCGCATGAGTCAACGCACCCGAGTTGATGCACCCTCTATTTGTGCATCTTCTCCGTGGGCACGTGAGTAATGGGCAAGGTGCAAAGGCTGCAGCAAAGCCCTGGCTCCCTCCCAGCACCTTGGGCTGGCTGAGGTGTCCTGGATGGTGACACTGAAGCTGGGATAATCTCCTCCAGTGCCACTTTCTGGAGCAAACTGCTGCTCCTCACCACTATGGTCAGTACCCATAGACACAGGACTTGCAGGTTGTTGGAGATAGATGTGATGTAAAAATAGACTGTTTTAAGGCATGCACTGAGGATCTGGTGGGGTCAGAGGCCGCTTTGGTCCTCTTAATACATCTGTTCCCTGTGAAAATCCCCTGGGAAGGATTTTCCTGGCCATCCATCCCAAACATTGGTGCATAACGGCCACAGCTGTGAGTGCCTCCTTGCTTAAATGTCCACCCCAGGATGGAAGATGGAGTTGATCCAAGGGTTCCTAGCTCAGGAGATCCCAAAAAGACTCAAGGAGGAGCTGAGCCCAAGCTGAGCTCAGGCTCCTAGCTCCATTCTGGCTTTACATCCCCTCTACGCACCCCAAGGAGATGTCCCACAGCGACACAAGGGTTCCTAGCTCAGGAGATCCCAAGAGGACTCAAGGAGGCTCCTAGCTCTGTTCTGGGTTTATATCCCCTCTACGCACCCCGAGGAGATGTCCCACAGCGACGGAGAGGCCGATGGAGAGGGCAGGAGACCCCACGTTGTCCTCTCGACGCTCGTCGGTGGATGCAAAGATGCACAGGACCAGCTGGAAGGTGAGGAAGAGCTCGACGGTCACAGCCTGCCCCGTTGTGGTCTCGTTGTGCAGCTGGACGGGAAAGAAAGTCAAACCACGGGAAGGGTGAGATGGGAGACCCACCTGGAGGGTGGAACCCAGGAGGAACCCAAAGGGATATAGGATATAGGAAATAAGGGAGATTTTGAGCAGCAAACTGAGGAAAAGGAAATTTTTTCCCAGGGAAAAGGGAAAGTAGAGCAACGGTTAACTTTTTATTGACATGCCAGGAAATGTTTTTGTGGTGCTTCTCTGGCTATTTCACATTTTTCTCCCAACCCTTTTTTACCTCTCAGAGACTTTTTTTTTTAAAGCCTTTCAGAGGGGGAAAAAAAAAATATGTACTGCATTTTGGAAATGTCAAAAAAAAAAGAAAAATTGTGTTTTGGCACTGTAAAGAAAAACCCTCTCTGCCCACTCTTTTCTGCAAGGATTTGTCAGGTTTGATGCGGATTTCTGCCTTGCTGCATCCCCCTCACTGCAGACTCTGCTTTTTGGAACTTTTAACATTCCTTGGCAGCTCCGAGCCCAGATTTGAGGGCTCTGGCAGTGCTGCTGATCACGGGCCTGGCTCCTCTGCATCCCTCCTCTCTGGATTTTCTTGGCCCTTCCCCATCCTTTGGGGGATGCTCTTGCAGGAGGCCACAAGATGAAGAGCCCAAAGGGGAGAAATCAAAGTCTCTTTTTTCTTTTTTTTTTTTTCCCTCTTCTTAGTTGGTTTAAGCTGTAAAACAACCAGACTGGGCGCTTTCAAAGTCGCTCCTCCAACTCCTTCTTGTTTTTTTGTTGGGTTTCACAAACTCCAGCTATTACCAAGTCTGAATAGCCTTGTTCTCCCAATTAATCCGCAATCCCTTGCTGATCTCCTTGGCAGCAATGCCAAGACCTGGCAGTGGTGCATGGAAGGGGATTGTGCTGGGCCGCTTTCCGAAACGCTCCCTTGCTTGTTGTTGGGTCCATCCTAGCATGGACCTGGGCTGGCCTCAAGAACTTGGGATGCTGCAGCCCCACGCTTGGGGCAAGGGGCATGGAGAGGTGATGCTCTTGGTTGTGTCCTTCCCTAGCCCTTGTTCTCCTCAAAATACAGGTCCTCCTTGATACAATCCTAACCAAAATTGGGGGGAGGATGGTCTCACCTCCCAAGCTAGGTACCTATCTAACCAACATTTTGTCCCCAAAAGCAGAAGGCCCAGCCTGGATTCCTGGCTTCTTCCCTGCTCCTGGAAAGACTCTTGATGCAGCAGCCTCACAGTGTTGGCCTTCACCAGACACCCAAACCTAATAAAAGGGATCCTTGATGGCCACAACACATTTCTTCACATCCCTCACCCTTCCCTAGGTGAGGGGACCCTTCCCTACCCCATCTTTCCTACTCTGCACTAGCCCATCTGCAGGTTGAGCTCTTACCTTGTTAATGGCCAAGCCTTCCCGGGCATCCGGTGGGGTGATCTCGTGTAGGATGGCCGCCCCAGCGACAGCCCCCAGGAGCTGCGCCACCACGTAGAAGACGGCGCGGAGGAAGGAGACGTGCGAGCCTATGAGACAAGCCACCGTCACCGCTGGGTTGATGTGGGCGCCGCTGACGTGCCCCAGGGCTTGGACCAGCGTGCCGATGGCCAAGCCAAACGCCAGGGCAATCTGGAGGATGCTCGGGGAAGCCGAGGGCCAGTTCAGCGCAGAGCCCAGGCCAAAGAGGACGAAGATCAAGGTAGCCAGAAATTCTGCAAACACAGCCCGGGTGAAGGCTACTGAACGGAGTTCCCACATCATGGAGAAGCTCTTGGTGGTGGTTGCGAAGACTGGCTCTACTGGCCGTGTCTTGAGGCAATTGCTACCACGGCTGCTGGGTCCAGAGAGGATGACAGGGGACGGGATATATATATATGGATGCAGAATGCCAAAGGAGCTCCTGCCGATGGAGGTGGGATCATGGTCCCGGGAAACCTGATGCTTTCCTTCAGTTGTGTTCCAGCTGAGGGAACTTCAGACCCTGCCCCCTCCATTAAGCTGGGGAATGCAGCGTTCGCCACCCTTGGGGTCATAAATCAGCCTTGAGCAATGGCACGAAACCCTGTTCCTTTTCTCTGGGATTTTCTTAACAGGAGCCCTATTCCCAGAGTCACTTTTTGCTCCACTTTTCCCCAACTTCCTTCCTGCAAGGAGAGGAGAGAAAGCAAGTCCACAACACAACTGTGTCTGCTTTAGGCCAATGACTAATTTTTGATGCTTTTGACTCAGGCTTGAATATGAATAAACTCTGAAAGAAATAAAATTTTGAAATCTTTATTTCTTGACCTTCTGTTGGAACAAAAGTGCAACATGCTTTGTGGATCTCAGTGCATAGAAGAACAACCTCGATCGACTTGGAAAGGCTGTTTTTGTGGATGGTACAAGGCTGGCACAAGCTTGGGAGGAGAAGGAAGATTTGGGCCATGATGACCAGGAAAAACTGGATGCAGAGGAGTCCCATGCGGGCACAAAGCTCCAAAGGACTTAATGCAGCTGGACTCCCCCGAGGTCCAGGCACAAATTTCCTACCTGGAGGAATGGGAATGAGCCCCAAAAAATGACTGGCAGGAGAAAAATTCAAGTGTGAACACAGGACATCCACAGCTGGAGGACCAGCTGTGCCATAACCATGGCCAACTTGGCTCTCAGAAACGTCTTCTTCCTTCTTGGCATTCATCCCCAAAAGAAGGAGGAGTTTTCCTTCTCTGGAGCATGGTTCCTGCACATCAATCCATTTACCCATCACAAGTTCATTTTCTTGCTCTTCCGTAGCTTTACTGAGGGCATATTTCTTCCTCCCCTGGTGACGTCCGTTTCTTTCTTTTGTCCCTTCCTTTAGCAGAATCCTTTGCTATCTGCTATCCTAAGTGTGGAGGAACATTCCCCCAGGGAAGAGCTGGGCATGAAAAGCTCCTTTTCCTTTACAGGCTCACGGAGCATCAGAACTGGGAGTCTATTTTTTGGCTCTGACAAAGGCCTCCACTGTGCGATAAAGCAAATATTTTTGCCCTCCAAAGGGATCGTGCCAGCGCCACCGGGCTGATATTAAAGGTTGACCCACCCTATTGTATGTGAGGTTCCTTCCTCTGCTGAAGGTGCACGGCAAGACTTGGCCCATCTCAAAAAGATGCTGATAGGGCCAAGCTCTTCACAAGAGAGAGATTATGGAGTGAGGAAGAAGAGCATGTGGCTGAAGGCTTGGAAGACTTGGAGCCGAATTTTCCTCTGTATTTCGCAGCCAACTTGGGCCTATCCTGGCATCATTCCCGGCTGTTTGCCAGCAAAAAACACCCTCAAATCTCACAAAACAGGTCAAATATATTGGAGGTCCTGATCAGCCACAGAAATATGGACACAGGGACTTGCTTCTGCCTGCCTGGTGCAGATTTGTGAGCTTAGCTTTAATCGAGAGTTATTTCAGCAGCTATTAGTGTGGGCTGTTATTAGTATTTGGCATGACAGATAACAAAGATAGGCAATTAACTGGAATTGATACCCTTTTTGATTAATACTCAGGACAAGCAAGTTGAGATGTCTCATTGCTTAATGCAGACTAATTAAAGGGAAAAAGGAGTAAGCAGGATTAGCTCTAAGCAATTCAGAAGTCTAACCCAGCCTCATGCTCCCAATGTCCACTAGGCAAGGCTATTCCCACAGCTTTCTCCTGGGAAAAAGTGTGTTCTTGGCCGTTCTTCCTCCTGATGGCGGAAAATGGCCTGATAATGCATTTTAGAAGAATATTTTGCAAGCAAGGGAGCTTTGCTTGCACAACAACTTACTTCTCTAGTGGTTTAGATGTCTCAGATATCTCTGCTTGCCTGGCTTTGAGGAAAGTATAAACATCTTTAAGGTATCTCCATTCCATCTAAAATACCTCCGAGCCACAGAGAATAAAAGATTTATTGCACAAATAACTGCGTGAGTTTTCCTGCTTGGATTCAGTCCTTCCAAAGCAGGAGCTGTGTGTGTTTCCCAGACCTCCAGCTCCGTTTTTTGCTCCTTTCTGCCGCCAGTGTGTGACTCCAAAGGAGGAACGGATGCGTGGGCTTCACCTGGCAGCAAGCACTGGCTCTATTAGACACTGGAGAATCCACAATACGATAACACTTAGCAGAAAACTTTATATAAATCAGATGCTGGTTCTGGTGGGCACCTACAGCAGTGCTGGTAGAGCATTGCAGAGCAGATTAAGACCATTCCTACCTCCAGGCTGCTGCATTTGGTTCAGACTCTTTTCCTTCTCCAGCTTTCCCCGCAGATGACAGATTTATGGGGATTTTTCTGATGAACACTGAGAGACTTTCCAGTGATGCCAATGACAGACAGAGCAGAGGACACTGTCACTAGTCCCCAAGAAGTAGTAACCACCAGGAAAAGTTATAGCCTCCCGTTCATATTGAATCAAAAGGACATTCAGCCAGAGGAGAAAATGGAAAAAAAAAAAAATCAACACCTTTTCCGGCATTTCAGGCCAAATCCTAAATCCTTGTTCATGCAAAACTTCTGCTGGCTCTCGCAGTGTTTATTGTTCTTGTTTTAACTGAAGTAGGATTAATACAGCCCTGATTTCCTTCACTGACTTCAATGAATTGAGCTTGAGCACTGGCCAGGAACTGGGCCCGGTGTTAGGAGGAGGCTTCGTTTTATTTTTTTATCCCAGCTCAAGGACTTGCAAGCTCAGTCCTGAATGTTTGCCCTGGGTCTTAGGGTGGGAGCTGAGACCTGGCTTGTGCTGGTATCAGTGCACATTTCTGATGGCTTTGCAAAACACTGACAACCATGAAGGCCAACTCGCTTTGCATCCCAGCATGGTCTGATCTTTAACTCTTTCCTCTTGTGATTTGCAGACTATTTTTTTTCCTAACCTCTTCTTAAGAGCCAGAATGCCTAGAAATGGGGAGATAGAGAACCCAAGGTTTCAGTCTGCAAAAAGACAAAACAGGGCCAATCCCAACTGCCATCAAGGTCAGAGAAAGGCTGAATTAAGTCATGACCTCCCTTTAAACCTGTCTTAAGAGGTGAAGAAAGGAGAGCATTTTCCCTTGGTAAAGCTGTGAAGTTCAAGGCCAGGGCATTGCATATTTTGTATAGACATCTATAGGAAAATATTTAATGCTTTTCCACTTGAATCTGCGAAATGGTCAAAGCCAGAGACTGGGATATGTATAGAGGCAGTAGGTTTTCAGGTGAGACCATTTGGCCGTACCAGATCTTGTAAGCAGTTTGTGCTCTTTGCTACTTAGCCAGGCATGAATATTACATTAGTTAAAATCCATCAGGTTGCAACATCATCCCCAGGTGACAGAAGTGCCCGGGAGACCTCGGCTTTACCCCTTGCTGGATACCTGGTTTGTGTTTGCAAAATAAATCATGTCTCAGGAGGAACCTTCAGCAGGCCTAGGTGCGGGGTGTCCTTTGACATCAGTAACTGGGTGGCAACATCAGGAATTAGGGCTTTTTTAACGATTTGTCTTAGTTACCTCACTGTGGATCAGAAGTAGCCAAGCTGAAGCCCATGAAGGAATGAATGAGCTCGATTCAGGTGTCTTTTCTTTCCCCAAAATTTCTCCTAGAGCTTGCAAAACAAACCCAGTGCTAGGTTAGCCATCCATCATGATCCGTTTGGATGGGGCTGTCCTGCCTGTGGCTCCAGTAGTGGCCGGCATCCCTTTGTGCCCTCTTTTCTGCATCCTGGTGGATCTACGATGCCCAACACCATGCGGGATTTCTCCAGGAGGGCTGTTCTGTGCGTGGGTTATCTCACGGCTGTGCATTGACTCCTTGCTTGCACAGCGGGATGTTTTTGCTGCTCTCTCCCGCTCGGTGCCGGGAGGAAAGCGGGAATGTGTCTGATAATGTTAGCGTCAAGACGTGGCTGTTATTGCAGCATCTTTCCCAGGGCTTGCCAGGGTGCACAGAGCTGATCCGTGGGAAAAGCCTTCCCTTTGGCCATCACTACATCACCTAAGATCTATGGAGACAGAAAAAGCTGCAAAAAAGATCCCTGGGGGTCCCTACTTCAGGACTAAGAGAAAGCACTGAGGGAAATTATGGACTATAAGGCCCTGCGTTGTCTTTGCAGAGGCATTTTCAGGGTGCCCAAGTGCACTGGGGATGGGCTCAGGTCCTTCAGCTGGTGCCTGTCCAAGTGATTCCTTCTGCATGGATGGGATGGCGCCACTCGCTTCCCTTCCTGGCAGGACATGATGTGGAGAGGAGCGTCGGCAGCTCCGCGGAGACCTTGCCAGGAAGGTCCGGCACGCGGAACGGAGCTGCCGGGGAAGTTCCGCATTTCTTCTCACTGGTCCGACTTGCTGCAGGGCGAATGCAGCAAGGCCTGGGGCTTTGGACCTGAGCAAAGAAGGAAAATCAAAAGCAAGGGGAGCTTGGGCAGAGCCTCAGCTGAGCATCAGGATGTGCCCGTCCTTCTGTGTCCCAGCTGGGGACACGCTGCAAGCTAATAACGGGATGTCACTGCGCCAAGTGGCAGATACCCTCCTTTCTAAGGTAGCTCTGAGCTTCTAGGACAAAACTGGAGACACTTGGCAAGAGGGGAGCTCCAAGCCTGGCTCTTGAGCCAGTTTCAGTGCCGGAAGTTTTGGGTCTGAAAATGCAGCGAGGTTGTCAAAACACCTCTGCATCTCCTCTCCCTGCTGATCACCTGGGTCACCGGTGCTGCTGCGTCACTGCAAGGCTCTGGGTTATTCCACGTGGCGACTCAGAAGCATCTCAAAAATTCATGTGCACATCCCTCCAGACTGCATTATATAAAATTCCTTTGTCTAGAAGACATTCCTTAGTCTAAAAAAGAAACCAAAGAGTGGAAGAAAGGTGTCACTCTAAGTGTCACCCAAACCTGTTCGGTTCCCCCACTCCCAGCGGGGCACGTTTGCGTGCTTGTGCAATTGCTTTCGTTTAAGAGCATCTAATGCCCATGGTGGTGGCAAGAACATGTTCTTCTGGCAGCGATGAGTGAAATGCACTCCTGAGAGGCTGAACAATTTAATCCCAGGGAGTGCCTCATCTTATATTTATCTATTTGCTCGGCCAGTGTGTGCGCGTGTTGTTGTTGCCCTCTCTGACGTGGTTTGTGGCCAACACGGATTTGGTTTCCGTTTATTTTTTCACCTCACCGCCGGGACCTGTTTCCTGCAATTCAATCAAATCACACATTGTGGCCCTGGAGGCAGTTAAAATAGGGCAAAGTTTCCCAAAGCACCCAAAATCCCTGGCCCCGACATGGGGACAGACACCTACAAGCAATCGAGTGGCTCCATCAGTCACTGCTTCCCCAGGTGACTTACAGCTACTGCCCACCCTAAGCCTGGAGCCCTCCCTAATTGAAAATGTTCCTCAGATAATTTAAATTAACACTTTTTAGGTAGCTGGCAAGGTATCTGTGGTCAGAGGTGATGGCTCAGCTGGGCATCGCTTGAGGGATTTCTTTCCAGCTGATAGAGAAGGATGATATAAAGGTGTGATGGAGGGGATAGCTCTCCTCAGGTGGTAGATGTTATGGCCTGGGCTGCAGAAATGCAGGGTAGAACACCCCATCCTGAGCAGCTCTGGCTGTTAAGCCTCCTAAACAGAGCGTTAGGGGCAATTTCTTGGCTCTTCCAGACCAGACTGGGAAGCGAGGAGGTTCTTGTGGCTGGAGCAAGGAGGTAAGAGGGGGCCACCATGATGGCTTGGTCCAAGCAGGAGCAGGTCTGGGGCTGCTGGATGGGGTGGTCCCATCACAGGTGGCTCTGTTCCACCTGGGGACAAGGTGGGGCCCTTAAGAATAAAGTGTCTGTTGTCTCTTATCCTTTCAACCCTCTTCCCCTTGATGTTTGCAATTTGCCTTTTATTCTCCCATGTCGAGACCAAGCTTGGCAGGATTTAGCATTAATAGTGTGTGGATAATTCAGTAGCCTGAGAGCTTGGGGTGAATTCCTGGGGTTTTCTTGGTTTCTTTCTTGTGTTTTAAGTCCATGTCAGAATGCTCCTTGATGGTAAGGGTTCTGTCTCCTGGGGGATGCAGAGGGCTTCTGGGTGTGCCATCACCCATGTTGATGTGGCAGATCCCTTAATTATCCCATGAGGATTCCTTTACCTTGTTTTTGATGTGATTGAGTGTTGGGCAAACTTGTTTTAATCTCCGTGAAATCCTTTGTGGATTTGGCAGGGTGTAACCTTAACAAATGTATTTTTTAATGTATTACAGGTATGTGTGCAGGGAACCGTCTGCCTCGCGTGTCCTGGTGCTCCCTGCACCAACCGTTGGGATGTTTCCCAGTGTCACCCTCTTCCCTGCTTTCACCCCTACAAAAAACACTCCCATTGGCACTAGGTTTAGGTTGGGAATGGGGATAGATCCACCTAGCTTGTCTGGGGACCACAACTAGGGGCAATCAATGTGGGTATCCCGATGCAAACAGGCTTCCTCTCTTATTGGGATGTCATCTAGTTTGTCCCCAAGCCCTGGACCTGCTTGTCCCTCTCTGTGCTGAAAGGGGACCAAAGACAAGGTCATAGTTTTGCTGAGCACCCCAGGGTCTCCTTGTGCTGGGCTGGCAGAGCCCCAGCCTGTTGACTTGAGCTTCTCTTTGGACCGAGTCCTCTGTCTCTGCTCAGCCTCGAGGAGCTTGTGGTTAACAGGCATCTAATTGATTTGGAATAATCCTGACAAGTTTTTGCAGTCCTTGTGGTAATCTGCTCCTTCCAAGTGAATAGCTTGGCCGTGGGTGCCAGCTGCTTGGCTGCATTCTTTCATTTTCAGATCACACTTTTGTCTTAACCCTTCTGTGCCCAGAAATGCTGCAAGGGCTGGTGCTTTCTCAGCTCCCTCTCCTTGCAGGCGGCTCATTCCTCATTATCTTCCTCCTTGCATGATAAACAATAAATAACTGGAAGGGGTTGGGGAAGGAGGAGAAGGGAGACAGCAGACTAGACAGCATGGGTTGCTCTTAGGGCCATCAGCATCTTTGGGATGGATTTGGGGTCAGGCTTGTACCTGCACTGTTTGCAATAATTATGCTGTTTGCAATAATTAATCTGTGGCTGGACACTGTTTGGGTTTGCTTTGGCCTTCGGAGGAGCTATTTATACCCGGCAGCAGAGCGGAAAGCGGGACCTTGCTGCCTGTTTACACCGAGGGCGCCTTGTGCAGGTGGCATCTCCCTTGTCCTCTGACTTCCTGCGTACGTTCTGCTGCCAACACAGAGTGCTGAAATGTGCCATGGGGCGATGCTGTCCCCTCCTGCTGTCCCTGATGCTGGGGGAAGCGTGACTGTGGGTTTTTTATTTCCCCCATACCCTGTTGCTGGGGGTAAAACCACATTCATTTGGAACATGCTCCAAGGGCTTGAAGCTGGTTCCTCTCCAGCTCTCCCTGGATGATTCCCTGGGGTGATTCCCAAGCTGATGTTTGTACCTTGCCTCTGTGTGAGCCCTCTCGGTGCCCTAGAGCTGGTGCCAAGCCCATCTGCTGGGATTAAGCCCCCTCCTCTCTATTCCCCTCCTGCAATGCCTGGAAGGGCTGGGAGCAGAGCTGGGGATGCTCTTGGGTTAAGCTCGGCTCCAGCATCGCTCCGTGCTCTTGGTCCCCGGCACGGGATCTCAGCCGTGCCGCAGCGCAGGGATGCTGCGGGAGAGCATCCTTTGCCTCCCTCCCTCCTGCGACTGCAGCGGGACTCGGCATCTTCCCGCTCGCAGCCCCCTTCCCGCATCCGTGACACGTCCCCCGCTGCAGCGCGTGTCCCCCTGCCATTGCTGCTGGGGGGCTGTCGCCTCCTTTTCCGCTGCCGCTTTCCCGGCGTCCCCCTGTCCTGCCGCCTGGGAATGGTACGGTCCTGCCTCCAGCGCCCGGCGCTCCGTGGACGTTGCTAGAAGGGGAAGGCACCGGCGCAGGCGGCCGCATCCAGCCCCGGGAGGTGCCGGCTTGGGGACGGGAGGCTCCCGGTCCGCTCCATCCCCGCGGCGTCTGGGCGGCAGCGAGGCAGCATGACCCAGGGAAAGGTAGGAGGGAGCCAGGGATGGGCCCCTGCTCACGTTGGTTACGTAACTGCAAAACTGGGGGAAAAGCAGGGGGTTTAAGGGATGAACGGGGACATCCCTGCGGAGGAGGGAGCGGGTACCGGTGCCCAGCTGGGTGCCTGGTGGCTGCTGCGCTGGAGGGGTGGCAGGAGAAGAAGGGGACAGTGCTGGCGTTGCAGGGTTGGGGGGTGTCTTTATTTCGGCTCTTTCATCTTGGACCTGTGGGCATCTATTCCGTGCAACCTGGGGCTGGCAGCTGCCCTGGTCATCTCCTTCCCCATGCAAGGAGCTCCGGAATCTGGAGATGCTCCAATGTGGGGAGCCTGGAGCGGGGGCTGTGCATCCTCTGCTGCCATAGCTGGGGTGCCCGGATGCAGCGGCTGTCCAGCATCCCCGCGGGTGACACCCCGTCCCCGCGGGTGACACCCCGTCCCCGCGGCTCATGGGGATGCATCCCGTGATGCCAAACTTGTTCCCACCTTGGCCATGGGCAAAGGACACAAGTCCTTATCCGCAGAGGAAGGTGGTTTGGATCACGTTTCCAAGGAGAAGCAAGTTCTCTGGTCTGAGAATGGCTCTTTGCTGGGTTTTTATAACCGAAGGCTTCAGCAAGCTTATGCATTTGAATGTCCTGCTAGGAAAATACCCCTGGCTGCCTGGATAATTTGGGAAGTGAAGGATTTAGGTTTCCATGTCTCTTACCACATGTTCAAACTGCAGCCAGTAGCTCCAACGCGGAGGTGTCAGCAGGTGCCCTGCCAGGTTCCTGCTGCGGGGCAGTTTGAGCCCTTTTTTTCCAACCTCTTTCCATTTCCCTTCCCTGCAGCTCTCTGTGAACGCGAAGCCCCCCAACCCGGAGGGGCAGGGGGACAAGAAGGATGCAGCCGCCGCGCCGCCGGCCCCTCCGACCTACGAGGAGGCGACGGCGGGAGAGGGCACGAAGGCCGGCGCGTAACCGGCGCCGCCCTCCGTGCCGCTCCCTCCCCGCTGGGCCTA